AAAGGAAACACAGAGTACCTCAGCACGAAAGAAGAAAAGAGACGGCTCGCGAGTTTAGGGCTCATTAGTATTATAGTAAATATAGTTACTTTTTATTAATAGGAATAAAATTTAGGATTGTTGATTTGATCCAATGTTTGAGTTTAATTTCAAATTTTTTAGAATAAAGAAATTCAATTTATGTGATTTAATATATTTTTATATTAAATATATAATAAAACTTTAATATAAAAATATTATAATTATTTTTTTAAATTAATTATTTTTTTCAAGCTAAAATGAGCCGAACAGAATCGAACAAAGGTTTGTTCGTGGTCGACTCATTTATAAATTGAACTAGAAAAACTTGTTCATTTTTGGCTCGCTTGTTTAACAAACAGATGGAACACGAGCTACTTACTAAGCAGAATGCGAGTTGTTCCTGAACAACAAGCTTTTTTGGCAGCCTTAGAGAAGGGGAGATAGATGAGGGTTACCTTCCTCAATGGTTTCAAGTAGGTGCGCACGGAAGGAGGAGGGGTGCCACGATCTCGTCGTTGCCTTCTCGGCAAGCTCCATGCGCGACGATGTCCCAAAGGTTCGGTTCGGGCGGTCAGAGAGAGAGAGAGAAGAGGGGGGGAAGCTCTGCAAGGGATCAGAGGTTATAGAAGAGGGCGGGGGAGAACGAGTGAGATGAGGCGTGCTAGCTTCCGATTCTTTAGTCCACTTTAATAGGGAACAAAGTCGATGTGATCAAGCAAATTTTGGGAAAGCGACACCAGTGCATCGAGAGAAAAAAGAAATAAATCACAAGTCCGAGTTAGGAAGGCGTGCGAAAAATGAAAAAAGATTCGCATGGATCGAACAAGGCTAAGGAGAAATTTTCGGCTCTTACATTCACATGGTCGCATTTTAGCTATTTTCTTAATGGGTTATTCTTGTTGATATCCATTTTTACATATGTCCTAACAATTTTGTATTGTTTTATTTCGATACCTTATTATTCGCAACCAAAATAATTTTCAAATACTTCAAAAAGTAAATGAAAATTGTTTAGGATTGATATACACTTTTTGTTCGCATGACATCAACAATCATGATTCAATATTATTAAAAGATAAGGTGATCTTAAGCTTAATAAGCTCAAGTAACTTGGATTTATTATACATAAATAATGGAGATATGAATAAGGATATAAATTTTTAAGCTATGGCTAAATGGTTAAAATTTAAATGTGCATAGGGAGTTTTGTTTGATGAGAGAATTGCATGGATGTTTAAAGATAAATTTTATAAAATTGTAGTTTGAATTCAGGTAGGTTGGTTGGTTGAATTGGAGGAATACATCACGCTTATTGTGTGATAGAAAAGTACCGCTTAGACTTGAAGGAAAATTTTATAAGATGGTGGTGAGCCCTGCAATGCTTTATGGCGCAAAATGTTGCAAAATGTTGGCCTTTCAAAATGTTGGCCTTTAAAAAAGAAAGCATAAAACAAAGTTAAGTATTACTGAGATGAGAATGCTTAGAGGGATGAGTGGCTTGACACTTTGAGATAAATGCGAAACAATCAATCCGTTGAAGGGTTGGTGTAGCTCCAGTGACAGACATGATTAGATAGAGTCATTTGAGATGGTTTGACACATTAAACGCTGACCATTTGATGATCCGGTTAGGGGAATAAATATTTTTTATTCAACTTATGTTAAGAAAGGCAGTGGTAGACCTAAAAATATTTGGTTTTATTGTACAAAAGATGATCTTAATCTATTATAATTAAATGAAAATATGACACTCAATAGGGCACAATGGAGAAAAAAGATTCAAAACAAATAAACATGACACTCAAAACATCTTCTAAATCTTTTGAGTATTTTAAAAAACAATGATATCTTAATCAAACATACCACACATGTTTCATTTCGCTCTAAAAAATACAACAACAACAACAAAGCCTTAATCCCACTACGTGGGGTCGGCTACATGAATCCTTTTTCTCCATTGCGTC